TTTCCCCTTTCTCTGTCAGTGGCCAGATCTCACCCAGGTGATGGAGAGGTCCTACCCCAGAGGAGAGACCTGTATCCTTCGACTAAAGTTTCCTGACCCATTTTCCCTCCACTCCCCTGGCAGGTCTAACAGGAGTATGCCACACAGCTAGTAATCTGCTGAGTTACCTTCCCATTTTTCCCCAAGGCAAAAGGTCACTTACCAGGGAAGAGGGATCAGGAGACCCACCTGCTTGGAGGATTCTAAAGACAAGTGGTTATATAAAGTATCTTTCAAAAGAAAACATTTACAGAGGAAAGTTTTCACAGATATTCACCCGGACCCAAAAACCAACAGATGTGAACTGCACCCCACTCTCCCTTCCTGTTCTGTGTAGTTGATACCTGGTTGAATTGAAATGCACATAGAACTGGGCGTGCAGGAGCGAGTCAAAATGGCAGCAGGAGCTGCATGTAATGAGTTGGTTCATTTCATCTGGAATGCTCTCAATTAAAAATGTCCACAGGCCACAAAGGGGACGCTTGAGGTCCAAATGACTGACTTAGAAATAGTCACTTTTAGTGTTTCATGAAGAGACTCTCTTGAACTGGTCCAAACAGGAAGGTGCATCCTCCCCATGCTTAGGTTCTATTTTGGCACATCAGCCAGCCAAGAATGAAGAATTTTGGGGCATTGGCCAACAGCAAGAGAAGTGCCTGCCTCAGGATGCAGCCCTGTCATTTTTTTTTTTACCTCACATGAACATCCCTACTTAGAAAGGCTCACATATCACCATAACCACCTCTGAAAATTGTATGTGGCCAAAGGAAGGCATTAGCCCAATTTTGGATTCTTGCCAAGAAACGATTTTTTTTTTCTTTGAAAGGCAGTATCTTCCTCATGAGAGCATACTGCTCTTATAACACACTGAGAATATAGTTTGGGGAGGGGTATCCCTTGCTTTTCTCTTCCTATGCCAACCTCACAAAATCCAGTACCATGTTCCCTGGGATTTTTGTCTTGGAAGATGACTTGGTTAAGTAACACACTGCTCCTCACTGTACACTGGGAAACAGGTTCAGTTTCCTTTGTTTCTTGCCAAAGCTGCTTATGAAACATATCTGGTGCTGGTGCTTATGGCGAATAAAAATACCAGTTTATACTTTCTCCTGATACATTCCATTACAAGCTAAATTTAGCACCTCGCCTGGGGCCTGGCAGCTCACCTGCTCCTATTTAGCACGTCTCCACTTTCATGCCTGCTGCAGGGTGTCCATGTTCCTATCTGGCGTCCTGTATCTTCACTGATGAAAGTGACATCTAGAGAAACAGATGTCAGTTGTCAAAGACAGCCACGGTTCTCGGGAGGCCAGACAGCAAATTGGCGCTCAACACTGGATATCCCGTGAAAAACACCTTCGTCATAGGCTTAAAAAAAGGTCTTAGTGTTCGACAATGTGTAGTTTTGGTTAGAAGTGAGATGAACAGCATCTTGGGGGCTCTCCTACACTGGGGAACGGACTGTGAGGGCCAGCTTCTGCCTCCGTCAACCTCTGCGCTACACTGCCTGTAAATTCCCCCTCCTCCGCTGCGGGGCGTCTGCGGAGGAGCGCGAACTTCGGGAGCAGCTGGCTTGACGCAGCGAGCGTACATGCGCCCGCCGGAAGGCTGTGCCACTAGGGGGCTGCGCTCAGTGCCACACGCATTTTCCCAAAACGATTAGAATCGTGTTCTTTGCTTATCCATTTGTGAGAGCGCTTTACGCAGGCGGAACTCAGCCCTTTTGTGACAGGTGCATATTGTTTTTTTTCCGCCTGTCTCTCAGCGCAGTTTACCCATCTGTATCATGCGTGGGTCGGCTGTACCTGCACGCTCCAATGGTAACATCATGTCTGCGATTGCAGCCGCGGACGACAGCCATTTCCTGCGTCCGAAACTAGGGATCCTGGCCAGCGCCGGTGCCAGGGACTGGAGGAAGAGAACCAGCCACCCCCGCGGTGTTTGCGGAACATTGCCGTGGGGCGCTGCTGCCGGCCTTTTATAGGAAGCCGGCGAGGGGCAGGGCCGGCCGGCGCCGTGACGTGCTGATGTAAGGCCCGACGGAGGGCGGGGCAAGGGCGGCGGCGTTCTCTTGGGTACCTCGGGCGTCTCATCCTCCCTGCTCATCCTCTTCAGTGTCCTCCTGAGCGTCCTCTCTGTCGGCCTCCTCGGCCCCTCGGCTGCCCCTCCGCCTCCCGCTGCCGCCCGTCCTCCTGTGCGCCCTCCCTAC